TGTGGGTATCAATGCAGAGAAGGTCCATTGCCATATTGCTATCACAATATGTACAAAGAGACCTGGACAAGTCATGTCAGACTCTGGGGGGTAGTTCTCTTTTCCATTTCTAAAGTGAAGAGCCAGCATTGTCCATAGACACCTCCAAGGTCATGTGGCCGGCATGACTGCATGAAGCACCGTTACGTTCCTGCCGAAGTGGTACCTATTGATCTAATCACATTTGCATGTTTTCGAATTGCTAGGCTGGCAGAAGCTGGGCCTAGCAGCAGTGGGAGTTCACCCTGCTCCCTGGATTCGAACCACCAATCGTTCAGTCAGGAAGTTCAGCAGCTCAGCGGTTTAATCCGCTGCGCCACTAGGGGCCCCTAAATTTGCCTTTATGCAATATTAATTGCACAGAAAATAAACACTGGCTCATGTTTACCGGCTAGGCCCTGCATGGCTGGCTTCACATGTAAGCACACCCACAAATGGAGTCTTGCTGTAAAATAATAAGCTAGTTAATTTGGAACCCTTGTGATACATTTTTCCAAGGAACTGTGCATGCTCAGCTGAATCTCTTTAGAGGCATTCTTTTCCAATGAAGTTCCACTTTCCCTTTTAAGTATAGAGCACCTTGGAAGGGTTGTGCTAGTAAAGATGCCTAAGTGATGCTGAAGAGGTATCTAGGGATTATGTGTGGTTGTAAAGAAGATAACTAAGAAATTAAAGTTGGCATTCAGTTTAGTAAGAAAAGCTGGCTTATTCAAAGGCATTGTCTCTCATTTGTTTATACTGAGTACAGCTTTTATCTGAAATCATCAACTCCTCACATCAATCCGTCATTCAGTCGTAAACACCCCAGAAGATCAATCAGTCTTGATTAATTAATCTACTCTGATCAGTTCCATCCCCAGGCTTTTTAGACAAATTAAGACCAATTTCTTCACAACTTTGATTGCTTTCCTGTTTGATGATCTTCAAACCATGTTCTGAAGGTGCATTTCCATGATGCCGTGACGAAATAGGCTTGTTTTTCAAATAATTACAAACTTGCTTTTATTAACGCTTGTATGCTTGTTTGTGTAGTAACTGAAATACTAACACCCCCCCTTGTGCCAGATTATGGTAAACAGGGCTCTTCTCTTCTAAGGATATTAAAGCCAACATCCTGTTGATGATATGTATATGGATCATTGGGGATTACACTACCATGTGTACTTTTTCCTAATCTAGTGAAGGGAGGCACCCTGTATCTTGTTCTGCAAGCCACTTGTCTATTGAGCACTGTCATCCAAGGAGGCTAACAGGTACACCTCCACTCCTCAGCCACTATTTCAACTGCTTTTCAGAATTGAGAGACAAAGTAGGAGCCTTATGTTAAGCCAGAAGTCACACCCTCCTTGATATATGTCCAGCAGCAGCAGCTAGGGACATCCTTGAAGCTCATGAATGGGAAGGGAAATGGAGCTGCACTTATACCAGCTGTTGCTGTACACTGGGGAAAGCAGCCAGGCAGGGGCAGAAGTCTTCCCATTTCTTCTAAGTACGCTGGTGAAGACTTACATTTTGGATGTTCTCAAAAGCTTAACCTTGCCAGCAGCAGGATGTTCATGCAATCATAGATGGGCAGTTTAATGAGTCAAAAACAACTGTGGCACAGTTGGCTAGGAGTCAGCTCATTAAATCACCACTGACTGAAAAGTCATGAGTTCGAAGCCAGCCCAGGTAGGAGTAAGCTCCTGACCGTTTGTCTAGCTTGCTGTCAACCTTTGCAGCCCGGAAGACAGTTGCATCTGTCAAGTAGGAAATTTAGGTACTGCATATGCAGGGAGGCTAATTTAACTAATTTACGATGCCATAAAATCTCCAGCAGTGAGATACTCCATCAAGGACTTGGTGTCACAAGTGGACCGTGAAGCAACAACTTACCCGGTGGCCGGAATTTGAGCATACCCTCATGAAGCTTAAATTGCCTCTGTGTTTGTCTGTATATGTTGTGTGTCTATGGCATTGAATGTTTGCCATGTATATGTACACTATAATCCACCCTCAGTCCCCTGCAGGGTGAGAAGGGTGGAATATACATACTTTAAACAAATAAATAAAAACAGGATGATTTCCACTGGTCTGGAAACTAATTGAAAGGCAATACAGATATTTATTTGTTGCCAAGGTACTTTTTAGCTCACTCTATTCGTCAGCCTAGTGCAAGTATTCCCAGTATAAAGAACTTAGTGCCATCTAGATATTTTGTGCCATAATTCCCATAATCCCTAACCACTGGCCACATTGGTTAGGGTCTGTGGGAGCTGTCACCAAAAAATCTGGATGGTACAAGGTTCCTTATCCATAGCTTAGTTTAGTTTACATTTTCTATAATTTGTCATATCAGTGAACAGATAGTGGGCATTCCTTAAAGCAGTTATGAATGCATAATCCCCTTAGCCACGTAGTGTTTCCCAGTTTGGCCTCCCGGTCTTCATTTACCAGGCAGCAGCTGCTGTGATGATAAGGTCTCTTCCCCCAGTGATGGCGAAGCAGTTGCCTGACATTTTCACCCCCTCCTATGAGTGATCTCCAATGTGACCATCAGAAACATGGCTTCCTCACATTGGAGATTGCTCCCATGTAGTGGGCATGAAAATATCAGTCAGCTGCTTCCCACCTGACTAGGAAACAGAGCCCTATCTCTCTCAATGGCTGCTTCCCCATAAGTGAGAATTAGAGGCCTAAGTATTCCTTGAACTAGAGAGGGAGCATGAATATGGACCAATTACAGATGTGGATTCGTAGGTTACACATTTTTAACTTTATCCCTTCAGAGTCTTCACAAAGTTATGTATTATAACTGGGTAGGCAAAAAAGTAAGGAGGAGATTGTTTAGGACAAAAAAGTGCTGTTATACAATTATGCCCACTCCTGTTAATAGTTGTGCCAGTTAGATTTTCCTTCACATGATGCACTCTTCATCTTGTATTTCCAAGCATAATAAATACTTCTGTTTTACCTTTCTATCTTTTGGGTACATGGTTTACCATGCGAGGGTATAAAGGGGAAAATATGTAAATACTGTACAAAAAGGTATGAGTATTTCAATCCTCAGCAATAGCTCCCTCAGGAATATAAGAATGGTTATTTATGACTTTATGACTTTATTTATTTAGCCTGGATCAGTGAGAATGTTCAGACTGAAAGCCTATAGTGTTAGCATATGCACTGTTTAATTCAGTGTAATACTTTTTTAAAACAGTCATGCAAATATTAAATATTTCTATACAATAGTATTCAATAATGTATAGTTTTGTGTTTAAACTAATGTTTAAATTATAGTTCTAGACACTGTGTGTGTATATACATGTGTGTGTGTGTGTGTGTGTGTGTATTTTAAATGGTGTCTTAAAAATAACAGGGTTCCTATTAGTAGATAGTATCTCCTTTCTTTCTACTCCATAAAGCAAAACCAGCCATCATTGCAAATTTATGACATGGACACTGCTTTTATAAATAGATTCATGCATATATGTTCCTCATACTAAATAAAATTATATGTCACTGTGCTGACTTCAGCTCTTTTTCTGTGAAGCACAGTAAGGGACACATGAAATTAATATATGGAGACATGCTAGCTTTGTGTCTAATGACACATAGATAATTCACTGCCACAGGAAATCATGGGAGCTAATTTCATAAGGTATTAAGACCTGTCTGTCACACACTGAATATAGCCAGTACCTTTTAATGCTGAATATGCAGCAGGAGCTTTCTTGTCAGTGGCATGCCCAAAGGACAGTGATTTGTGTCACTTGGAATTGTGTTTTCAGTATCAGGGCACAAACAACCTCATGATCTTTCAAGTTAATAAGGCTTAGCTGTAGCCTGGTTTGTGAGTTGTAGAGTGATATCTGATGGCAATGCTGTGTTATTCCCTGAGATTGAAGATTTCTGCCTTTTGGTTTTCCACTCTTTAGAGCAGGGACCCTCAAACTAAGGCCCGGGGGCTGGATACGGCCCTCCAAGGTTATTTACCCAGCCCTCACTCAGGGTCAAACTAAGTCTGAAACAACTTGGAAGCACGCAACAACAACATTAACAACAACCATATCTCATCAGCCAAAAACAGGCCAACACTTCCTATTGAAATACTAATAAATTTATATTTGTTAAAATTTGTCTTCATTTTAATTATTGTATTGTTTTTAAGTGTGTTTTTTTGCACTACAAATAAGATATGTGCAGTGTGCATAGAAATACATTCATTTTTTTTCAAATTATAACCCGCCCCTCCAACAGTTTGAGAGACTGTGACCTAGCCCTGTGTTTAAAAAGTTTGAGGACCCCTGCCTGTTCAAAACTCATGTGTGTAAGGAGCTATTTGAGAAACTGCAAGTCGCTTCTGGTGTGAAAGAATTCTGGTGAGGCCATCTGCAAAGACATTGCCCAGGGGATTTCTGGATGTTTTGCCATCCTATGGGAGGTTTCTCTCATGTCCCTGCATGAGAAACTGGAGCTGACAAATGGGAGCTCACCACGCTCCCTGGATTAGAACCTCTGGCCTTTTGGTCAGCATTCCTGTCAGCACAAGGGTTTAACCCGTTGCGTCACTGAAGGCTATTTACTATGGGTGATGGTTGCTATGCCAATAGCACTTTTGGTTCGCTTTGCTCAGTAGCGGCACTTCTCAACCAACATTTCAGAGCTCTAGAATCAGTTGGGGATCCACAAAGAAAGCCTTAATAGACAGTGTGCAACCATGATTTCTGTCCCTGCTCTAGAATAAGTTGATTGCCAGATGGTACTCTAGATTCAACCGTGACTTTCCATTGTATTCATGTTTCATGGATTTAATCAAATTTGTTTCCACAAGCTACATTGATTTTAGGAAGAGAGGACAGAGAAAGGGTTCAGAGACACTAGAATCCTACCATTTCTGTTCATAGCCTATTCTGAATTTCCTTTTGTTGTAATTTTTGGAGGATTTGGGGCTTGTGGTACTGAGACGTCTCTTTCTCCTGCAGCCTTTGAAAATGCACTGTGCGAGCTGTGCCCTAGTTACGAGCTCTGGACACCTTTTGCGAAGCCGACAAGGCAGTAAGATTGACCAGACAGAGTGCGTAATACGAATGAATGATGCACCCACGCGGGATTTTGGAAAAGACGTTGGAAACAAGACAAGCCTGCGGGTCATAGCTCACTCCAGTATCCAGAGAATTTTGAGAAATCGCAATGAACTCTTAAATATGAGCCAAGGGACTGTATTTATATTCTGGGGTCCCAGCATCTACATGAGAAGAGATGGCAAAGGATTAATTTATAATAATTTGCAACTGATGAACCAGATACTACCTCAGTTGAAAGTATACATGATATCACGGCACAAGATGCTTCAGTTTGATGATCTTTTCAAACGGGAAACTGGAAAAGACAGGTAAGAAAATTTCCTGCAATTCAGTTGAATGTTTGTATATCTAAGGTATACATTCATTTTCAGGGGATCATACTACATCCTTGTCTCGCAACGTGTAAAATTATTTTATTCTATTTTGTTTGTAAAATAATCAGGATTAACTTTTACAATGTAAATGACAACTAGACAATCAAATAATGCATTTTTATGTCAACTTTTAATAACAAAAACTGATGTATATGCTAAATACATCTAGTCTACAGGATTCCAGAGCAGCATAGCAAAAAGGTTGGCATCAAGTCTCAATCTTACTTCAGGTAACACATATGAAAGAAGATTTTTACTGGTTTTGAAAAATCAAAATTGATGGCTTTTGCTTTACGAAGCCAGTGCTGCCATTCTGTGAATTATAATGACTACTTATTGGATATAAGCATTCTTGGAACATTGCAGCAGTAAAGCTTCTTGTAAAACAAATACACATTATTCATAGATTAGGTGCTTTTGAAGTGCTCATCCTCCACTTCCAACTGGGGAAAGGCAAGTTATTATCATACTTACCTTCTTTATGAGCCCATTTATGACTTATAAACAGATCTTCAAATCAATGTTTTTTTAATAAGTGACCCTCTATATGTATAATACATTTCTGCAGTCAGTGTTGAAAATTAGATTTCCCCCTCACCCCCCAATGAAAAAAGAGACATTTATTTTTATTTCTTCTACATTCATTATAGTGTTTCATACTAAAATCTGATGACAGCACAAGTACCACTTAACACATTTATGTATAAATTAAGAGCTCACTTTGGGGAAGAATAAATCTAATACAGAGTTACATGCACTTTTCATTTCAATGCTCCATTATCCTCAATTGAAGTTCTGTGGAGAATTACTGATAAGTAAAAGCATGTATTCTATGACATAGGCTGCTGTATACTTTGGAGAACCATTTCACTTTAAAAATTATTATATATTCTTATTGTTGTTTCTTAAAGAACTTCAGGCAGAAACCACAAGTACTGAGACAGTAGCCAGTGGACATTACAGTATTAAGTTTGCACTCACTGGCTTAGGATTTCATCCCACAAGGAGAGGGTGGGGTGAAGAATTGTCTTCTTCGTGTGGATTTCATGGGGTTCTGTCTTTAAAGAAGATGGAGAACTTACTCACCTCATCACACAGGATCACCTCCTCCCCTTTCTAGCTCAATCATTGGAAGGATAGAAGCACATTTTTCAAAATAGGCATCCTTTTGGAGATACCACTTTCCATGGTCTCATTCCCCTAAAGCCCCTACACTAAAGGAGTCAGGCACACTTTTTAAAATACTTATTTAAATAGGATCCGCACTGTCTTTAAATTACTAATGGAAACAAAAGGAGTATTAGCAGGCCGCTTACATGAACACCCACACTAAAATGTCACAAAGTATTCCAGACAAATCCACTACTTCCCCATCACAAGGGAAAATACCAAATTTTAAGCATATCTATGTGCAGGGAAAGGATTGCCTGCCTTTGAAATCTACACACTGCAGAGATGCAGTCCCACTAGAAACTACTGGAAGCAGTCCTGTGTCGTTTGTTGGGCTCCATCTTTGAAGTGTATAGAAATGGGTAAAAATGCAGAAAAACTTCCATGTGATGAGATCTTTAGTTTGGGCAAACATTACAGGCTTCGTTAAGGATGATAAACGTGTTTTATGGAACCAAAAATGAGTGCTAGTGCTAAGCTCCTGCTCTTTTTCTCCTGCCATATTCTGGCTTTGGTGCAAAGGTCGATTCAGTCAAATTCCCCATTATATTCAAAACCGAAAACATTTTAATGAGATGTTAGTTAACAAACCCGAATTTCAAAAGCTAGAATGATTAAAGCATACAATATTCTGAGCAAGAATGTCACAAATTTAGGTGTGAACAAAAGGTGTGTTTGACTCTCTAAATAATCTTTTACCATTTTTTCCATTGATTGATGATGATGAGGTAGCTATTCCAATATTGCCCAATAAAATGGTACACAGTTGTCATTATTGATCATATTGTATACATTCTTGGTAAGAAAGGGTATATTCTACAGGATACATTCTATTCCCTTCCTATACATTCCACCTGTAATTACCACACACACATACCATACATGTAAAATACTTTATGCTACATGTGAACACTCAAGATGGTTAAGTAGATAATAGCTAGATTTTGCCTATTAATCTACAAAGTCACACAGAATGGAATATAATATTCCTATGTCACTGGAAAAGGTGAATATAGAATCTGAGTGATTATTAGATCCTTACATAAATTTGTAAGCGCTGCATCCTTACAGTCAGTCAACAACCAGGAATAACACCTAAGGTGGAGAAACTGCAATAATTAGAGGCAGGCCAGCAATTATCCTCCCTGTACTTGGGAAGATCCACATAACAAGCTACACAAGCTGTTAGTGCGGGAAGTGAAGAGTTCAAAATGAAAGTGGGCTGCTGTGAGTTCACACAGATGAGCACTGAGCATACCTTTATGTAAGCGTCTTTATCTCTCAGGCTAGACTTTCTATCTTTTAATGAAATAGTGGCTGATACAGGATGTACTGTCTATTAATGAACAAGCAAAACTTTTCTTCCCTGGTTTGTGTGTCAAGTTCTTTTTAAAACATTTTATTCAAGAAAAACACAAAATAAAACAGATTTTAGATATATAAAACTACCAGGATTACACAGCTACATAGTATATGCTACAACTAAACAACTATTAAAAGAAATAATAATAATAATAATAATAATAATAATAATCTTTATTTATCTCTACCACCATCACCCAAAGAAATAACAATAATAATAATAATAATAATAATAATAATAATAATAATAATAATAAAAAAACTTTATTTATACCCCACCATCATCTCCCAAAGGGACTTGGGCTGGCTCACAAAGCACTCAGACACATAAAATACAACAAGTGCATAGACAATAACACAAAAGCAATAACAACCAACATAACATCATTAAAAAAAACCTGGTTAAGATCAAAAAATGCAATAATATCTGCAGATAGAAAACAACTGCAATCAATATCAGTCTCATAAAGTGGAAAGTGAAATAATCTCTAGGTCCTTGAATATGTTCATGAAGGATTTCTAATCATGGTCAAAGGCTTGTCTAAAAAACTATGCCTTCAATTGTGTACGGAAGGCTTGGAGTGTGAGTGCTAGCCTAATCTCCCTCAGGAGGGAATTCCAAAGCTGGAGGGCCACCACCGAGAAGGCCCTCTTGTTCTCACCAAACGTGCTTGGCATAGAGATGGGACCAAGAGGAGGGCCTCCCTGACAGATCTCAGAGCCCACCACAAACTTCCCACTCTCTACCTGATGGATATTATCATTTATTAATCTACTTCCTTTAAATTATAATGTGATCACACTTCTGCTTCTGCTAATTCATTATTATCAAACTTGATAAATGCCCCCAATGTTACAACAAGTCCCACAATTTCTTAAAGTTAGTTAGGCCATCTGTTGAGGGTGCTTTGAATGAGATTTTCCCTCTTCTTGGCAGGGGGTTGGAATGGATGGCCCACAAAGTCTCTTCGAACTCTATGATTCTAGTCAAATATTTATCCTAAATCAACATAGTCAATGTGTCCATCTCTTGTATTTCAGAATCCTGATTAACACTTTCTTCTATTCTTCCAATTTAATTTGTGTATCTATATTTTGAGCCCACTTGTTGCTCCTTTATTTTATAAGTAAAGTTTACTGATTAGTGCACTGACCATATCAACAATAAAAGACAAAAACAAGAAAATACACAAATAGACACTAATAACAGTCCTAAAACTCCTGTAATAGTGAACATAAATTAAAACACAATTAAAACTTGATAAAGTTAAAAGATAATTAAAAATATCATCATTAAAGTGATTTCTCCTCTATTTTATATTTAAACTGCAACTTATATATTTAATGATCAAATGATTAGCACCTAAGCATAAAATTTCAAAGGCTGATTTAGCTGTCTTAAATTCAAATATTTTTGCCCAACTCAAATTGTTCAGTTATTTGTCAGAAGGTAAACTATTTCACTAAATAGCTCCTATCTCATGGTACATCTCTGTTGATTGTCATCTAATATTAACAATATTCTGTTAAAGGAATTTCTCTTCATGCAGAGAGGACTTTAAAAGCAACTTTGAATGAAATGTATTCTACGTATTCCAAACAACATACAGTTGCTATCCTTCTATGAAATGATTGTTAAAAGTTGAGTCTGCTTTTATTTTATCATACAAAAAATGATATGTAGCTAAAATTTCAAATACAGTCCCTCTAGTTGCAGTAATCTTTTGTTTTTTAATATTTCATCTCATCCATCTGGACTGTATCTTCTTCATCATCCCTTGCGTTTTCTTCTCCACTTTTGGTTTCCTCTTCTCTTTCCCTCTGATGAGCTTTGAAACTATCTCCATACTTCTTCAAAACTTCTCCTGCCCTTTGCACTGTATTTAATGTGAATCTCTTTTGACTGAACTTGAGAGCGACTCACTTCAGTTTCTCCCATATACATGGAATATCCTTTGCCTTCAGCTTTTGTGTCTTCTTCACAGTTCTAGGAGTTATAGCAGCTATTAACCATGAATTAACAACTTGTTCAAATGATGTTGCTGAAGAAGCAAATCATGAGTTTGAAATCTGACAAAATTAACCACCATGTCTCTGGGCAAAGTTTTCTGTCTGTCCACATGAGGGTTCAGTCTGTCAATCTTTATCTGGAACTTCCAAAAAGAAAAACAGCAAATGCTTAAATTATTTTAGCATTAATATTTTTACTGTGTTGTCTTGACAAACCATGCACTTTTGTGGATTTTTCCTCCCTTTGAGGTCTAAAAGTACCACTGCCTCTAGAAATTCTTTCTTGTCATGCTTTAATTTATCTACAGTCACCTCCAACTTCATAATCTTATCTTCGAGTTTCTGACTCACTTGGGTTAACTCCCTAGTCTGCTTCTTCAAAGAGTTACGAA